CGCAGCTCGCATCTTTTCGAAAACAGCGCGCAACCGTTCAATGTGTTCGTTGAACGTGCGGCCAAAGACGATAACGTCATCAAGATAGATAAGGCATGAGTCCCACTGGAGCCCAGCGAGGACCAGCTCCATGAGCCTCTGAAACGTCGCTGGAGCTGAGTGGAGCCCCATGGGCAATCTATTAAACTCGAAAAGGCCCTGTGGTGTCCGAAAAGCAGTCTTTGGTTTTGACGCTTCGTCGAGGGGGAGTTGCCAAAACCCTGACAGAAGGTCCAAAGTGGAAAAATAACGCGCCCCTGCCAGGGCATCCAATGACTCATCCATACGTGGAAGAGGATATGCGTCAGCCACAGAAATTTTATTTAGGCGCCGAAAATCTACACAGAATCGAAGACTGCCATCGTGCTTTTTGACCAGCACTATCGGGGCACTCCAGGGGCTGTTGGAAGGAGAAATGATATCAGCCGCCAGCATGTCGTCAACTGCCCATTTAACATGCTGTTTCTCCGCAGGGCTGAGCCGAAACGGGTTTTGGCGGATAGGGGCAGCGTCACCAGTGTCAATGTGGTGACGCAGCAGCTTGGTGCAGCCAATATCAAATTGTGATTTGCTGAACACATCCGAGAATTCCCGCAAAAGAGCCCGCAATTTACTCTGCTGTGACCCGGATAAATCGCCGGCATCCGCGCAGAGAGCGTCAATCCATCCCTCGTCAACGTTATGAGGGCGAGGCCCCTGACTGTTCGCTACGTGTCCGACAACCCCGGTTCCCAGAGGCGCCACTGTCGCATGAGCGAGCACTGTCCCCTGTGAAATGACGGTGTCTGACAGACCGACATTCAAAACTTGTATAAATGGTTCCCTGTCGCCCGCTACAAGAGTCTGTGCGGCCACCAACGAAAGGCTGTTAACTGCTGTGTTGGAAGGTCCCAATAAAATGCCATTTACCGAGGCGGTGGGAGCGAGCGGTTTTTTTAACCGTAAGGGTACGAGCATTTGTGCCCCTGGCGGAATGCGTACAGCGCAAGCCGCAAAAGCCTGTACAGAAACATTTTCCGTCCGTGAATGCGTGGCCGCGGGTAAAAATGCCATCCGGCGGCCCGAGGGAAGTTCAGTACATCCCTGATCGATAAGGATTTTAATGGGCATTTTGGCAAGAAAATCAGTTCCCAGAAGGCACGGCACCGCAAGGGAAGAAGACACAAAAACAGGGCCGGCCAATTTAATATCTCCAATGGCAATTTGCGCCCGAATTTGGCCGAGAATCCCCAGGGAACTTCCATTTGCAGCGAAAAACGGAACGGAAACCTTTTCCAAAGATCGACATCGCACGGGCAGTATATTGTAAATCAACTCAGAGATGATAGTGGCCGATGCACCGGTATCGACAAGCACGCGCACCTCTACCCCCTCGATCGAACCAACGACCACCGATGAACCCGCCGTCGCTGCAACCACTCTATGGGCCAGCTCTGACCACTGCCCGGGTCGCAGTGGTCGCGAAAAGTCGGCCAAACGCCGCGCATCATACGCCGTGTTCCGAGCGGAGTCAATGGTGTGTTGTGGTGTGTATGAGGACCGAGCGTGTGGGGTGCCGCGACTTGCCTGGTTATGCTGCGCTGCTCTGGAAGCTCTGTAGTCCCGGTCTCGGGATCCGGCGGAGCGGCGGCGAGGTGCACGGCAGTCGGGAGAGAAGTGGCCTCGGCGGCCACAGTTGAAACACGTCGCGTCGCCGCGGGGGAAGGGCCGTCCCCGCTCCCAGTCGTTGCGGCGACTGGTGCGATTTGGTGATCGCTGGGGCGTCGCGCTGAACGTCGAGAAGACTCGATCAGGAGAGCGAGCGTTGTCCCTGCTGGCAGGCACCGATGTCGTAGCCGAAGCGGTGATGGTCTCGTCCTGGTCCAGCATTAAGTGAGCATGAATGCTCCGGGCAGCTCGCAGTGAGCACATGTCCTCGTCATCCACGGCCTGGATGACAAGGCGCAGCCCTCTCGCCATCTCCAGCAGCTTCTGAAGGACGAGTGCGTCGATAGCCTCATCGTCCATGCGGGGGTAAGCCGCTCTTGCCATGGCGAGTAGCGCGGTGCGGAACGCCAATGGCGACTCCCTTGGCTTGCACCGTCTCTCGTAGAATTGGTGGCGTGTGGCGGAAGGAGGTCCGTAGACATCAGACAGCCGCTGAAGTGCTGCTTGTAGTGTCGCCCTTTGTCGCTTGGGAATGGAGATGAGTGCAGCGAGAGAGTCATCGTCCAAGGTGGCTGGCAATGCACGAAGTGCTTGTGCATCCGACCAGCCCACCATCTCCTGGTGACTGAGGAAGCGACGTTGAAATGCTGCCCAGTCGCCCCCTGTGGACGAGAATTCGCGAAAGACAGGCAGTCTCTGCTGTAGAGCAGCTGTGTCGTCGTCTTCGTCAAGCTCGGACTCGGTTCCGAACGCAGCGATGGCTTGGTCGACAACATGTACTGTACGGCGTCGCAGCCGTGATGACGCGGTGTTGTTGGAGTGTCCTGCAGAGGCAGCATCGCTCTCTGATAACGCAGTGTGTCGTGATTGGCCCCCGGAGGTCCCAGCATGCACTTGGCTTCCGCCCCCACGTGACCCATCGGCGGGAAGGACGTTCTCTTCCGGGTTTGCGATGGCGGGGACGCTCGCTGTCGGCCGCTCCTCCCCGCCCGCAGCCCCCAGGGTAAGCTGCTCCAGGATGGCTGCTGCAGCATGCAGCAGCTGGGCGAGGCGGGCGTGAGCAGCCTGGTTGCCGTCGCTCGCGGCGATCGGCTGCACAGCTGGTGGTGGGGCGGCTGGCAGCACGCCAACATCTTCAGCGCCGCCCGCAGCACCCACGGGTGAGTCGGAGCTTGCATCATCGGGACTTCGCGTGCGGTTCGTTCGTCTTGTTTCCATCTCCTGACGCCAAATGTAGTATTGTACAGACAGACTCTTGTACGTCTTTTAGTAGCACACACTTTATTTGTGAATACAGTCCCTATGCACCGAGGGGTATACGGTCCCCTCACCCGTTACACTCCGAACGTACAAGCCTACAGGCTACTCATACTCCGCTCCTTCAGTGTCCTCTGACTGGACCTAGGGAGATGTCTCCCTGACCACTGGTTACTCTGAACCCTAGCCCTTATAAGGGCTGGAGGGCTTGGTCCAGGGTCCTATGCTTCTTCCGCCGTCTTGGGTCTTCGTGTCGTCGGACTCCCCGAGAGCTCTGAGCGTTCTGGCTTTATACTCGTTCGTGGCCGGATTGTCCAATCCCCGGCCACCTTGTGGAACCCTGTGATTGGTCGTTCCCAATCTGCTTTTCGATCCCAATTTACCCTATCTGACCCTGACCGTTAGGTCGCGCGGGAAACCCTTGTCAACGATTAGCTCTCCCTGTTTGTGAATATCGAGTGGGTAACTCTACTACACATTGGAGGGGTGCAAGGAGGGAGAAAGATCGAAAAAGGAGATTGGGTACAGCGAGAAAGGGGGGCAGTGAGAGACAGAAGATTGTGAGTGAAGAGGACGAGAGGGGACATAGAAGGAGCTGAGAGCGGCAAGATGAAACCAAGGAAAGATTTAAAGACTCAATGAACGCGGTCGTGAACGGGAAGCCAATGGAGTTGAAGGAGGAGAGGCAAAGTGTGAAAATTAGAAGGGTGATTAAAAATAATCCTTGCAGAAGCATTTGAATTTGTCGGATGGGAGTGAGAGAGAGCACAGACAGGAAGGCCAAGAAGAAGAGCAGATGGTTAAAGATCATAACAGGAATCAGGAGTTTGGTGTTAGAAAGTGAAATGAGAGGGCGGATTTTGCTGATTTTTAAGTGATAAAAGTGGCAAATGAAGTAGTCATGGCAATATCGTTTTGAGACTAGGCTCAAAAGAAAGTTGTCTCTGGTGTGGACCAATTAGTTTCAAAGACAAAGCATATATTCTCTTTGGTTCTTTCGGTAAAGTCACGTAGACAGAAAATTAATAGATCACAACGTTTCGATCGCAACACAAGTGACCGTCTTCAGAAAGAACCAAATAGTATGGATTCCTGCAGTCACAAAAGCTTCAAATCAAGAATGTATATATTATCAGAGTATGTTTTTTGTTTGAATTCTCACCACAAGAATTGTGGTTAATGCAGACATGATTCCTTGTACAAGGTTTCAGTTTGGTGTTTTAACATCTTAACACCTGTTTTCTTGTCAGAAAAAAGGGGGAAATCTATTCTCATAGTCGTGGCAATGTTTGGTGGAGAAAGTGAGGGAAGAGTGAAATGCGACACCAAGGCGGAGGTGTGAGGAAGCAGCAGTGAGGGAGAGAGGAGGGAAGGAGATAGTGGGAACGGGAGGGGGAGAGCGAAAGGCCGGATAAAGAATGAATGATGTTTTAGATGGATTGAGAGAGAGAGAGAGTGAAGCCCCATCCAGGATTGGATATCAGCCAGACAGGAGGAGATGTGAGAGGAAAAGTCAGGGGTGAAATAGGGAATGGAGGAAGATTTGGGTGTCGGTGGCAAAGAAATGATGAGGAAATCAGAAACAGATTCGAGAGGCGAAATATAGAGAGAGAATAGTAAGGAACCCAGAACCATACCCTGGGGAATGTCGATACTGAGAGGGGAGGGGATACGGAGTGATTTAAGGGGTCTGGGGAAGTCCGAGAAGTAAGGTAAGACTTGAGCCAGGAGAGAGATGCCGAGGTCGGAGAGAGTGGAGAGAAGAGTGGGGTAGTCAACGGTGTCAGAGGTGGAGGAAAGGTCGAGAAGAATGAAAATGGTATAAATTATCTAACTGTATGCCAATACTCACTGTGTCAGTGAGTGTACTGACTGTGTCAGTACTAACTTTATGCCAGTATTCTCACGGCGTGGGAGTATTACGATTCACAGGAATCCCCGGTGTGATAGTGGTGCGGTTCATGTAATCCCCGGTGTGATTTTGGTATGGTTCACAGGAATCCCAGGTGTGATAGTGGTGCGGTTCATGGAATCCCCGGTGTGGGTGCGGTACTCACTCAGTTCTGTGGTACCAACATAATCCATGAGGTTCCCCAAACTCCACTCCATGACTCTCTGTAGGGAGTCTGGGATGTTGGAGGCGTCCGGCGAGATGAACGTTAGCATCTTCATGTAGAGCTCTGAGAGACGACGTGACTCATCAGGTAACTACTTAACTTCAAGGACAGTATTTACGTCTGTATGATGTGAGACATTACACAGGGTCATATGTTTAAACCAGTGGTTCTTAACCTGGGTTGCACGTACCCCTTGATGGTGTGAGATGCCCTTTCTGGGGGCGTGAGACTTATCCAGATTTTTTTAAGAAGGTAAATCATCGAAACACAAATTAAGCACGTGCACATAAGTACAACTACTTTGTGTCATCAAACCTATGTATTTATTAACATTTTTTAACGATTGAAAACCCAAGGGATGCAAGGCTGCAATAAAGGTTAAGAACCGCTGGTTTAAACAATGAACAGCCTTCTCCGCACCTCCTATTTGCACAATGGGCTACGTATGGTGCTAAAGAAGTTACATACATACATTTGATGTGTCTGTGTTATCGACCACGTGACTCTAGCACGACTCTCCATGGCTGTATACAGAGAAGCCACAGCACCTGCGCTGACGCAGGAGCTCGTGGCTGTCCTGCTCTCAGCCACGTTCACTTTGATCTCACGCCCTCCTGGTGTTGATTCACCCTGCAGTCGCCTGCATTGAACTGTACCAGGACACTGCACGGCTGGGATCTCCTGCACCAATGGACAATGAAGAATTGTCCAGAGCGCGATTGGGGTCACAAGTCCCAATCCATGGACCACACCATATATCACTCCCCTGCTTTGATCATTCGCTGGCGGCATTTCTGATGTTCCGCAGGTTACTCCGAAATCCACCCACTGGCTCACCTATCTGAAGACGGACATTCACAAGTTGCTGATCAAACCCCATGATCTGAAAGAATACGGCTCATAGCTTGCACCTCGCCTGATCTAGGTGGCTCTCTCTGTGCACCCGGTGTGGGGTGAGGCAGTGGCACTGCAGGGCTAATGCAAGGTGAGGGGGGAGAGACTGCAACGTTGCAGGTTGAGTGGGGAGAGGCAGCGGCACTGCAGGGAGAATGCAGGGTGAGTGGGAATAGGGAGGGCCTTAGGCACAGCAGGGAGGGAAGCCAGCAGCAGCAGCCCCTCTACAGCTGCACAAAGGCTGCCCTGACCCTAACGCGGCGGTGATCCCTGTGCCAGGCTCAGCCTTGGAGATGACACGAGGTCCAATTCATGAGCTAAGTGAGCGGCTCTCACTCAAGATGATCGCCCAGTGGTGAATGTGCCACAGTAAACCACACGGGCACAGCGCACACAGTCTGAGCCTGGGTGGGGCACACGAGGGTCATCTCCTGCAGCACTGTGCTTCTCAAAGCCGTGGAGGAACTCGTCCAGACACAAATGCAATGAGCCCTGATGTATCACGTGTCCTACGGAGTTCTGTGTCATCCAGGACATACACTCAGGAGCAGCGAGGAGCAGGAGATGCACGTCTCAGTAGTTCTACCCTTCCTCTGTGCTCTGGGATAATGTTGAACAGGAACTGTCACACTCACACCCAACAGCTGTCTCATCGCAAGACAAACACCTGCAACAAAGCTCGCACCTTACAACAAACGGAATGTCCCATAAGCTCTTAGCACTCATAATTACGAGACGCTGGGTGAGAGTCACAGCTCGCCCAGCACAGGGCCTTGGAGCGGCGAGGCCGCAGTGGGGGGCATCGCGGCTCTTGCCCACAGCTCCTGCAGGCCGAGCGCTGGGCCGGGCAGCTCGGTTCCCTATCCTGGGTAGCGGGGCCCTGCTGCTTAGCAGTGGCACTGAGGAACTGAGACCACAGATGTCCCAGTGACTGGAGGCTTGTGGACAGCAATGTGCACAGCCGGGTCCATCAGGGGGATGGAGAGTTTATCGTTGCATTGCAATCGCTGTGCCGTGTAGTGAGGAGCAGCACCCACCTACACCCCCCTCCTTGTGGAAGGCTCTTTCTAGGGCGGATCGCTCCTCCATGTTGTATGGATCATAGAGACCATCAATTCTCTGCAGGGTTGGGATGGTAGAATTGTCAAACCTGGAAAACAAGGGGTACGGTTGAGGATTCGAGTTACTATATTTTTAAATCGAACAAAATGCTAATACACAAATGTAATCAATATAAATGTCATGAATGTTTATGCAGAATATTGCAGATTTATTTTATATGTTTGCAGATCGACACGTTAGATCGTGGACTATGTGAATGTTGAATTAAATGTTTCTAGTCACACTGTAACAGTAAAATTCAAGCAATGAAAAAAAAAATATACCAAAAATATGAAGTGATGTAACTACTAGATCGTATTATTATCATTATGCATGTTTGCCCAGGAAGTCTCACTGAGTATCATGACTTCTGAGGGTCCTGCCAGGTTTTTGCAGTAGGTGGCAATAATTGCTGTGAATTCCAATGGAGTATTTTTCGGGTTCTGTAATTGTTTCAAATTTTGCCAAATTGGACCGTGATGCTGGCACATTATTGCCAACTCTTGTGAATGACGCCAAGGGATATTTACCATCCACTGTGCAGCAGGTGGCGTGTGTCACGGGGCCACGCAGGGCGGCTACGAAGAGCCCTCCTCGCCCAGCGCCACCCGGAGCATGCGGTCTCCAGTCATCTGCACTGCTCAGGAGCCCCCCCGCGTCTCTCTCGCTCACTCATCTCTCTCTATTCTCCCTGCGAATCCCTCTCTTCTCTTTCTCACCTCTCTCAGCCGGGCGATGGAGGCTATGCACGTGGTCTGTAATCTAGCACTGGAGGCAAGGGTTTGTGGATCGCACAAATGTTGTAAGACTTCTTTCCCGTGTGCGTCTAGGTGGCATACCCTGGCTTACCAAGAGACGGTGGTACAGCAAGTCGACTAAAAAACATCTGTTTCCATCTGTACGGTGATAGTGTGGGTTTCTCCATGTGCTCATAAATTGTCTAAAAATAAACACATCTCTCACTCTCTTTTCTTTCCCTTCTCCCTGTTTTTATTCCATGGCATCAATTCCCCATGTCTCCATAACACTGCCTGCATCGCAATACCTCCCCCGTGTCTCCCACTGTTTTTAGGCTTCCTTGTCTGTACTTAAAACGTAGATCACTAGAGAACCCCATTGCGGCTGAGGAGACGTCCCTCTCACCTGGAGAGCTTCTTCATGTCATCCAGTAGAATCCGCACCTGCTCTGTCTTCTTCTTGAATCTGTCATCTGTCACAGCAGCAGCAGCACAACCGGATTACTGGGGTCATGCTCTAATCCATTGACTCACGTTGACAGGCTTCCAGGAGCATGGTGAAAATTCCACATTCCCATGGCAGATGCCATACTCTCTACAGCATAACAACTTGCTTTCCAATACACGGTACTCATTTTGTGAACAGAGAGAGAGTGGGCTGAGTCATCCCTCAATGCGGATTTAGCGTCCAACCTTCCGACGGCGAGTGGCGTTCTCTGCCACATTCTCTGCCACAGCACCGACTGTCCCCAAGGGACTGAGGGTCCCAGCCAGGCTCCAGCTACAGGACTCGAGGAGTTCAGATCGGGGCCCTGAAAGCTCAACACGACAGCCGCTGAGTCGCTCTGCGGTGCCCCCCACAGCCCCACGCAGTACGGGACGCGCGCACCCCCCACGGCTCCCGGTGGCGCCACGCCATACGCCGGGACGCGGGAGCCGCAGGAGAGCGGCGCGAGCGCAACCCCCCCTGAGCCTGCGAGCAGCGCGGCCCGCACGGAGGGGGAGAAAACTCCACCCACAGCGGGACGTGTGGCGCTGCTCTAGAGGCCCCGCGAGTGGCCGGGCGGGTTGTGAGCGCCACACCGAGCCCAGCGCCAAGGGAGCTGTGAGGGGCTCTCAGCGTCTGCCATGCCACCCAGCAATGCCTGTGGATGGAGACTTGGCGCGCGTGTGGCTACCACGGTCACAGGCACGGCATGCAGGGTTCCACACGCATTCTAATGAGCAGTGGCTCAAACATGCGTGCAGGTGCTAAAGTCAGGGCTCGTGCTCGTGTGGCCCCGGGTCCCGGTTCCTGTACGAACCTGTAGCCATGGCTCCACGTGCTCAGCTCACAGCGTCACCTTCAATGGTGGAACCGCTCCCTCTTTACAACGCTGTGGGAACAGACATAGCTCAATCAGAGATGAACAGCTGGGGGAACAGAGGGAGCTCAGTGAGTGGGAGAACAGCAATAGAAAAATGTCCCCATCACGATGGTAAATTACGTCACGAGTTACTGGACATGATCCTCTGCAGTGGTGCACGAAGTATCAGTAAATTACCGAAGCTACTCAGATAACAGGGATGAATGTGGATCCCTTGGTACTAGCGGACAACTGCGTTGTAGACAACAGAATGTGTGATGCCGCCGCCATGAAGCCATTCAACAGGCACCCTAGCTACGACCTCGCCACCACCAAGCGACGGAGCCAACCCCGCGTCCCCCTCACCTCACATGAACACACCCGCACGCATTTCCCCCCCCCATAGAGCTTCGAGGGGAAGTCACCTGGCCGACCGGTTTTAATCCGAGAAGCCCTTATCGGGATAACTTTCACGGTTTCCGGTGACCAGGGAATTGGACGACCTCCCCCGATGCTACTTCGCGGCGCTGCGACCGGCATTAAGATTGCAAGGTCGCAGCGAGGGGCCATTCGGCCACCGCGAGTGAAACGCACCACACACACCCCACACACGCAAGTATCGACGGGGCAAGAAGAGGGGCATAAGCATTGTGATGGAGGAGCATAGTTGGAGTGAGCGCCGCGCATAAGCATTGTGATGGAGAAGCATAATTAGAATAAGCACCACACACACGCCACACACGAAGCGCATCTGACGGCGAGCCTTTGTGATGGACGCCGCCGCATAATGTGCATAACTAAGGCACCCTGCATAAGAAAGCGATTGAACAGCACATGCCCCACACATGGCATGAGGGGGAGCGAAGAGTACGAGGGAAGGGAGGGGGGGCCTGAGTCCGGGAATTAGGATAAAAGGGAGCGTAGCGAGGTAGAGAGATCTCACTTCACTTCAAGAGGCCCGCGTTCAAGTCGGCTCCCAGCTCTGCCCTCCGGACGTCCGCGTGACGTGTCCAGACGAGCATCGAGGAAAAGCCACAGGACGCCGAATACTTCGAACTGTGAGTAGCAAGGTGAAAGGGTATCGTAAGCCGATAAATAGGGAATAGGTCCAGGGGTAGTAGGATAGGCCAGCCTCGTCGATACGTACTGATTTAGCAACAAGTCCCAGGTAGCAGACAATAAATCATTAATAGCTGATCGTGGCCTCGTGTGATCTCGTTGAGAGGTGTGAACGTGTGTGGTGCTGTGTACACAGTGGTTCGCCACGTGGGAGCGCTGCGCGGAGCTGCGCGTGTGGGTCCGCGTGTGTTCACTACGTGTATGATACAGGTGCGCGATCATAACGCGAGTATTCAGTGGTGAGTGAGTGCCGCGGGGAGCTGTGTGCGTGAGTGCGCGTACGTTCGCTACGTGTCGGATACGGGTGCGCATTGGTAACGTGGTTATTCGACGTGGAGGCGAGTGCCGCACCGGGCTGTAGACGGGCACACGCTCGCAGGGTGCGAGAGCTGTACATAACGGTGTATGGCGTGTGATTGATCATGATGTGCGTACGTATGCTCGCAGCGTGGGAGCGCTGCGTGAGGCTGGATGAGTAGGGGCGTCGCGTTCGAATGCCGGCGACACCCTAGCGGGTATTAGGGCGGTGTGGCAACGCGAACGGAATAGGGGATGTGTGAGGGAGAGACCCCGGGGGCCAACGGCCCCCACAAATGCAGGGCAAAGGGAGTTGAACAGCAACATAATTAAATCATGTATGCGTTAAATAATTCGTGCCCAATTGCGGAATGTCAAACACATTAAGCTACGTTTATGCACAATGTCAGTGAGCTGTGTATCACAATAAAATAAACAAGTAGAGCCATGGTGCAATGTTGTGCAGGCTGTGCTGTGCACCTGGTAACCTGTGTTCGATTCCCAACCATGGCTAACTTCAGTGCTCAGTGATATCTAAATCAGTTCTGAACCTACACACGTAACCAATCCCAACTGATCTAAATGGTGACGTATGGTCAAACATCCCTCATGAACTACATGGTATGGGAAAGGCTTCATCCAGAAGTAGATTTAAAATGCCGTAAAATATGATTTAATAAAATAAAGAGGCAGAGTTTCGATTTAAAGCTTTCGTGACTGCAGGGATTCATCTTCTTGGTTCTTTCGGTAAAGTCACGTAGAAGGGAAGTAATAAAATAATAAAAAATAAAACATAATAAAACAGTTCGAGTCGCCTCGACGGACCTGGTTTTCACCTGAGGACGGCTGCTTGCGTTGTGGCCGAAACGTCGTGAGAACTGTTTTATTATGTTTTATTTTTTATTATTTTATTACTTCCCTTCTACGTGACTTTACCGAAAGAACCAAGAAGATAAAGAGGCAGAGGTTTTCGTGAACGAAATGAGAGAACATCTAATTTAATAACCAGTGGGCCCATCACGACAACTTTACCTCCATGGCATTCACTTCGACAAGGCTAGCCCTGCCAGGGTTCGCCTCCACTGAGTCCCATCAGCAGGGTGTGGCCAGTAAACAAACGCCACTGGGCAACCTGGTGGAGAGCCATCCACCATCACCGTGGGGCTGCAGTAAAATGTAGCGCAGTGGCTGTGGCCGTGCTGTGCCCTGGCGAGTCGCAGGCGATGATGCGACTGAAGCAGTTCGCAGGTGCCTTGGGAATACCAGGTGCCAATCCCATTTCAAGTTAATCACATCCATCAATCACTACCTGACCTCTTTACAATCAACTGCAGACCATATATGTGTAGAGGTATCACGTAGAGGGGTGTAGCAAGCCGTTACGTTGGGGTGTCTACATCAACGTCCGTACGTGGGGTGTCTACATCAACGTCCGCATACAGCCCCGCCCCTCGGGGGGGCAGTTGGGTATATAAGGCGGTGCGCGAGAGAGCTCGAGGCAGTCGTGGGGGCAGAAGAGCCAGTGAAGACTGAAGACCAGTTAGCTAGCCCTGGGACTACCCTAAATCGCGGCTCTTATAAGAACCGAGCAGGGCAAGCCAGGGGCGACCTCAGAGCAGCGCGGACTGTGTCCTTGTGAGGGCCAGGCTCGTGTGGCTGAGGGTCGGACCTGAGCCGAAGCTGGGCCAGGTCAGTTAGCCTCTACTAGGATGGTCTGGGTTAGAGGGGTGTAGGAGCTAACGGGGAACGTTAGCCGAGGGACACTGCCTCGGATAGAACCGGGTGAAGGGGCCGATACCTCTTCACACAACCATTGTATATTATTAAACGTATAACGTCCGTAGTAAAATGCACCCAATGACAACGCTGTGGCGTGTCGCACCGCACGGAGCAAGCCCCTCAGAGTGTCGGCAGGCAGCGCGAGGCGGGGTCCGGGTTGGGGACGACCCCGGCCTGAGCATCGTCAGCCGCGGTTCGATTCCTGCACTGCTCGGTCGTTTGTGTCAGCGTAGTCGCTTTAAGATGTTTCTTGTTCATGTTTTTGTTTGTTGCGGTTGCACCCGAATCAAGAGCCGAATGGTTCACAGGGCTATACCTAATAAACTGAAAAACTGAAAAAACTGAAAAGAATGACCGAATCACGCGGTCGGCTCTCGAGTGGACGTTAAAGACCCAGCACTGACGCCATTCGAGAGATATGAAACTACTGCGTGTTGACATCCCAGCACTCCTGTGAGTATTACAGTGATCTCGTCTAAATCACCACACTTGTATAACAGCCCCTATACCTAACCACAGACACCCCCAGGTCTCTCTTACTAAACACAGCAAGAGTCTCACTGGTTAAATAAAGGCCACAAGGTTAACAATCGCTACGCAGTTTTAACTGAGTCGGCACTGTCAACAGTTTTTACCACATAATGACCACCCAGATCCCCGTGTTAATGAAATAGCTGACAATTTGTCCGATCGTTGGCGATGGAAAGAGAAGTGAGAGGACGAGGCGCGTTCTTTAGCACGGGAGCGAGCACGGAGCACGGAGCCCGGCCAGAGCGAGCCGCCCCCCTGTGGCGTGGAGACTCGCGACGCCGCTGCTGCTGCCGCTCTACACGGGCGCTGCTGCTGCCGCTCTACACGGGCGCTGCTGCTGCCGCTCTACACGGGCGCTGCTGCTGCCGCTCTACACGGGCGCTGCTGCTGCCGCTCTACACGGGCGCTGCTGCCGCTCTACACGGGCGCTGCTGCTGCCGCTCTACACGGGCGCTGCTGCTGCCGCTCTACACGGGCGCTGCTGCTGCCGCTCTACACGGGCGCTGCTGCTGCCGCTCTACACGGGCGCTGCTGCTGCCGCTCTACACGGGCGCTGCTGCTGCCGCTCTACACGGGCGCTGCTGCTGCCGCTCTACACGGGCGCTGCTGCTGCCGCTCTACACGGGCGCCGCTGCTGCCGCTCTACACGGGCGCTGCTGCTGCCGCTCTACACGGGCGCTGCTGCTGCCGCTCTACACGGGCGCTGCTGCTGCCGCTCTACACGGGCGCTGCTGCTGCCGCTGCCGCTCTACACGGGCGCTGCTGCTGCCGCTCTACACGGGCGCAGCAGCAGCACCCAGCGAGGAGGGGCTGGAGACCGCCCTGGCTCGGGGTCACTTCACGCGAACCCCTTCCCTGTGTCTGCTGCTCGCACACCGCTGAGTCGCCGTGGTGGTGGTGGCACAGGCGGCAGTGAGCACGTGGTGCTGGCACGAGAAGCACTGAGCAGTGGAATAGTCGGACTCACACTTCCACGGGGTCCCAGTCTGGGTCAGGGTTACACACTGTAGTGTGGTTCTACATTGAAGGCAGCTGAGAGATGGAGATACGGAAAGACACGGGGTTAGAGACAGAGTTAGGGTGAGGGATGGCGTGATGGTCAGGGTTAGAGACAGAGTTAGGGTGAGAGATGGCGTGATGGTCAGGATTAGAGACAGAGTTAGGGTGAGAGATGGCGTGATGGTCAGGGTAAGGGACAGGGTGAGAGATGGCGTGATGGCCAGGGTTAGAGACAGAGTTAGGGTGAGAGATGGCGTGATGGTCAGGGTTAGAGACAGAGTTAGGGTGAAAGATGGCGTGATGGTCAGGGTTAGACACAGTAAGGGTGAGAGATGGTGTGATGGTCAGGGTTAGAGACAGAGTTAGGGTGAGAGATGGTGTGATGGTCAGGGTTAGAGACAGAGTTAGGGTGAGAGATGGCGTGATGGTCAGGGTTAGACAGTTAGGGTTTGATACGATTCAGGGCTGTGTGTACAGTAGTAAGAGAAACAAAACACAAATGTTTACATCTCCGGACACAGTATTTAACTTCCTTTAAAGTTTAAACTAATCATGCACTGCCCCAGCTCGCCCTGCTGCTCTCTGAGCCCTCCCGTCTCTCACCTGGCTTCAGTGTTGACTTCGACATCACCACGATAATAACAACGAGCGAGGAATCACCGATACGAGGCTGTGAGAGAGGTACTGGTTGTGAGAGAGAGGTACTGGTTGTGTGAGAGAGGTACTGGTTGTGTGAGAGAGGTACTGGTTGTGTGAGAGGTACTGGTTGTGTGAGAGAGGTACTGGTTGTGTGTGAGAGGTACTGGTTGTGTGAGAGAGGTACTGGTTGTGAGAGAGAGGTACTGGTTGTGTGTGAGAGGTACTGGTTGTGAGAGAGAGGTACTGGTTGTGAGAGAGAGGTACTGGTTGTGTGTGAGAGGTACTGGTTGTGTGAGAGAGGTACTGGTTGTGAGAGAGAGGTACTGGTTGTGTGAGAGAGGTACTGGTTGTGAGAGAGAGGTACTGGTTGTGAGAGAGAAGTACTGGTTGTGTGAGAGAGGTACTGGTTGTGAGAGAGAGGTACTGGTTGTGTGTGAGAGGTACTGGTTGTGTGAGAGAGGTACTGGTTGTGAGAGAGAGGTACTGGTTGTGAGAGAGAAGTACTGGTTGTGTGAGAGAGGTACTGGTTGTGAGAGAGAGAGGTACTGGTTGTGAGAGAGTGGTACTGGTTGTGAGATATAGGTACTGGTTGTGTGAGAGAGGTACTGGTTGTGTGTGAGAGGTACTGGTTGTGAGAGAGAGAGGTACTGGTTGTGAGAAAGAGGTACTGGTTGTGTGTGAGAGGTACTGGTTGTGTGAGAGAGGTACTGGTTGTGAGAGAGAGGTACTGGTTGTGAGAGAGAGGTACTGGTTGTGAGAGAGAGGTACTAGTTGTGTGAGAGGTACTGGTTGTGAGAGAGAGGTACTGGTTGTGAGAGAGAGGTAC